CTTCTATAAACCTCTATGAGCTGCTTCTTTCCATGCATTGAGGGCACTGACTGAAAAAGGCTAGAGTTGAGTTGAGGTTTTGGACTGTGTCTCTCTCTAATGGCCTGTAGGTGTCACACATGTCCTCTGGTTGTGGACCCAGTGTTGAGATTCATCCACTTCCAGCACCGTCTGAAGACAAAGCGTTGGGATGGACTAGTGGAGGGTTACTACCAAACGCTGTCTGCTAACTGCTCAGTGATCATCAAACCAATCAAAACCAGCTCCTGATCCTCCTGAGAATGCATACACATTGAACATAACCTGCATGATCAAGACCTTATGACTTTAATCCTGTTAACCTTTGCTTTGTTATAATGTACCAATTAGCATCAAATAGCATGTTTCTATCTGGGTTTACATATACTGTTTTTTCACCACTTTTCATGCTCATTACACTTATTTTGCACTTGATTTTAAGTTCTTTTTTAGTTAAGTACATGGTGGTTTGTGCAGTGCTGTCCAATCTGTGGTTCAGTTAGAGACTGAGGATATTTACATACACCTTGTAGGGAGCTTTTTTTTTTTTTATGAAAATCTGCCTCAACACTATTGAGTATGTTATGATAAGCCTTACAGTAAAGGTCCACATAAGAGTGAAAAATGATAATTACAGTCTAATTCTGACAAGTAAAATAAAACATTATTCAGAAGATACAGGTGATTATATACACTCAAGCCCAAAAATATTCATACCCCTGTCAAATACAAGACATTTATTATTTTTTTGAATCATACTTAAGTATGTCACCTCAGATTTGATATAAATAGGACACACAAGAAAGTCTGAAGCCATAACCAATTTATTTAAGATATAAAGTGTAAAGAAATATCTTTAACAGGGGGAAAACAAAAACAAAAATCACACTGTCCAAAATTATTCATACCCTGTGTCAATAATCAACTGCAAAACTCTTATTTTTTATTTTGGACCATTCCTCCTTTGCAAAGGTTTTAAGATCCTTGAGGTTGGAGGGTTTTTGCGCTGTCACCCATTTCTTGGCCACCTCATTCAAATTCAGATTCAAATTCAACTTTATTTTTTATGGCACTTTTCAGGCAAGAAATGCAGTTCAAAGTGCCTCACAGAGGCTAAAAACAACAATTAATAGCAATAAAACCCAACCCTCCCGCCCACACACACACCCATGGGCCCACACGCACACAAAGACACACCCTCACTCACTCAGCCACACATACACACACACACAAGCACACATAGGGCTCTATTTACATGTCCGCCAGTGAGGCGGCAGAGGGTCGGCGGACCCTCCGCAGTGGTATTTTCGCCTGGCGGAGCCCGGCGTACAGCCAGTTTGGTATTTTCGTGGACTGAGGTGCACCGAGGTCCTCCAAGCTGGGCGTGGTGGCGAGGCAGGGGGAGGGGTCGTCAGAATCAGCTGGCGCAGTGACAATTTCGTCCTCACCAGTGGCGTATAAACTGCGCTGAAAGCTCTCAGATTCAAACCTAGGCAGCTTTCAGCGCAGGTGGAGGGCAGCTGGTCTAGTGGTATTTTGGTAGACCGGCGGCGTATCGGCATACGTCACCGATGCCTCACCGGCAGGTTTCCACAGTGTCAGGCACATTTCAGTGCAATAGATAATCAACAACAACTATTAATCTGAGTCAGCACATACATTTAGATCTATATCGATATATTCTGATCTATATCTGATCTGATGAGAGCGTTTGGCATGCGTTTGGACACACAACCTGACTGAATCAACACAGCTGAAACCGCATCAAATTAAATTAAATATCTAGTAAATAAACACACATGATGACGTTAACAAGTTATGTAATTCGCCTCCCTTTCTTTCCTTCTCTTATTTCTCGCGCAGCTCGACCTGGACATGTCTCCGTGTCCTCTCCCCATCCTGCTGCAGCTGCTGCGGCGGCTGAACAGATGATTTGTTTCAGTGATCAGATGAGTTATTTTACTTTAAGCCTACATGATATTACAATATTCAGTTTTGTAAGCCAAATTTATTTTATATGCCAACATCTATGAAAGAAAGTGCCAGGCCACGGAGCACGATGCGTCATTTATGCACAGGTGGTTCCGATTTTAATGCCATTATCAGAATTTATATTGTGATCTGTGCGCGCAACCCACCTTTGTCATGTGAGGTTGAAATATATGCAACTCTATGTGAGTGTCTTTATTTGTGGAAAAAGGTGTTTGTCTTACCAGTGGGTCCAACATTACACACACCAAATCCATCTGTGCTCATATGAGTGTGGAGCACATCCTCCGTAGCGCTTACGACAACACTTGTTGAGGGGCTGCGTTCTGTCGCCATCGTGTGGCATTGCTGTCTTCAGACATCTCTTGATCTCTTTGACTACTTCACGAAAATAGTAATACTCCTCACCGGTGGCGGATTTAAAGGCAAGGAGAAGAGCTGATGTTATTGGTCAAAACAGGTCTCGGCTGTGTTAAATCCATTCCATGCCCTCTCTTCTCCCTCCCTATGACTTACGCCGCCGAGAGGAGCTGAGTTAGGGAGGGGGGATACTTACGCCGGGCTGCGCCGCTCACCAAAATACTAAGGCTGCGACTCATTTCAGAGACCGTATCAGGATAAGCACGCTCACTCAATTTTGTGGCGATCCACAAACTTGATGGTTAAAAACTTGGGCATATGTGTTAAAAAATAAGCTGAATAAAAACTGGGAGTGGGTGGGTTGGTGTCTAAAAAGGAAATAAATAGTTAAAACAAGCGATTTTAGTCCGAGCTGAGAAGCTGTGAATGTCTGTCCTGTCAACCCGAAATCTTCATAACAATTATATCAGTGTCCTGAAACAATTTCTTCACGACCTTGGCTGTATGCCTCGGATCATTGTCCTGCTGATAGGTCCAATGCTACCCCAGGTTCAGGTTCTCTGCTGCCTGCTTGAGGTTTTCTTTGAGAATCTTGGTGTAATGCTCTTTCTTCATGGTGCCTTCCACTTTGAGTAAGTTGCCAGGCCTGTTTGCAGAAAAGCAGCCCCACAGCACAATGCTTTCACCTCCATATTTCACAGAAGGGACTGTGTTTCTTGGCTTGTAGGCCTCGCCTTTCTTTTGCCAGACAAAAGCCACATCTCTGTGTCCAAAAAGCTCAATTTTGGTTTTATCTGACCACAGGACAGATGACAAGAGGCTTTTGTCTTTCTCTAGGTATGTCTTTGCAAAGGTCAGATGAGCTTTTACATGCTTGAGTTAAAGCAGAGGGGTCTTTCTTGGTTGACGTCCATAAAGACCATTTTGGTGCAGTATCTGCTGGAGTGTGTGCCTTGATAGAGTCACACCACTTGCGCTCAGTTCCTTCGAGACAGCCTTGGTAGTAGCCCTTGGATTGTTTTCAACAGCTCGCTTGATCTGGTCAGCCGAAGTGACACTAATGACTTCTGACCACGACCTTTGAGGTATTTGAATGTGGGAAATTTTTGGTACTTATTGATGATACGCTGCATCGTTGCCACTGGGACCTGAAATTGTTTGGCAATTTTTTTGTACCCTTTTCGGCATTTATAATGCCTGCTCGCAAGTCCTCACTGAGCTCTTTGGTCTTTGCCATGGCAAGGCGTTGACTGGAAAATGACTGACTGAACTGTACCAAGCAAGTCGACTTTTATAGTCAGAAAATCGTTAAAATTAATGAAAACTCTGAAACACTGAAAACAATGTTAAACACTTAAACACATAAAGAGAATGACTTTTTTAAACATCCTGTGGCTATCTGTCTTGGTATCACTGGGGTATGAATAATTCTGAACATGGTGACTTTTCGTCATTTCACAAAACATAATTGGTCATTGTCCCAGACTTGCCTGCATGTCGTAATGTCAAATCTGAGGTGAAATACTGATGTGTAACTGAGAAAATTAAGAAATTCCTTGTATTTGACAGGGGTATGATTAATTTTGGGCTTAAGTGTATATGCAGACTGGGTCAACAAAGTGGGCTAAAACACACAACAGGCCTCTCTTTTGCTTTAACTTGCAGAATCTTTGGAATTAGGTCAGCACTGCTGAATACTATTCAGGACTAACAAAATGGCAATAAAAAAAAAAAAAAAAAAAAAAAAAACAGGTAAGGATGGAAACAAAAAGAGAATGGCAGGAAAAGGCAACAACGCAAATAGTTTAATAATGAAACTCAGGTCAGCACGACCACACAAATAAAACAATCCTTACAGAACTAAGAAGGATATAATTATAACAAAAAGCGATCCTCTCAAAAACAGGACGACTAACCAATCACAGGCAACAGCTACAAAACTCACCAAAGGGGCTTAACTCAGTATAAACTGAGGTAGAAATAAAAGAGACACCACACGGTCTAAAACGAAGAGAAATCACTTTTCCAATCACTATTAAAAATAACATTCTGGCTGCTACTGCTCCACTGCAGAACATCACTCTGGGCTGAGAAAGAGAAAGTAAGCTGCATGCCCTCTGCTCCCTTTATTGCAGCAGCTGCTGGGCATCCTGCAATAAGAGTGAAGCACACCTACAGACACTCCCACTCAATCTCACAGATGCTTCCACACAGGTACATCCTCACTTTCACATGCAAAAACATCCACACAGATACTCACACTTGGAAACTCACATACACAGGACAAATACAACATGACAATAAAATCACCAAAAAAAAAGAAAAAAAAAAAAAAAGAAAAATAGTTTAACAATAAACCATGGCTATATGAAACAGTTCCCTGAAAACAATTAAAACACAAGAATTTTGAAACAAATTGAAATTAAAAAAGAAAAAAAAGGGAAATTACATAGTATTATACTTGGTGAAGATTTGTTTAATTTCCGCTGTGAATTGGGTGTAGTCTGTCAATATTTCTGAACTCGTGGTAGTTACAGCTAGGGCCCAGGAGGCAGCCTGACCCGACAACAGACTCATGAGAAATGCCATCTTTGATTGTGTGGTAGCGCAAGTGGCTGGCTGTTGGTTAAATACTAAGGAGCACTGTAATAAGAACTAGCTGACGGGGGAGAGGCAGCAGATGGCTCGGCTAGTGGAGGTGCAGGAGCTGGTTGAGGAGGCTGATCCTGCATGGTACCCAGCTCGCTTCTTAACTGGGAGACACTGGTAGCAAGCTGTTGCAAATGTTCCATGATTTGCGTGATGGTGGACTCGTGTTTGCCTACTAACACGCCTTGAGGGGATACAGCGTGTCTTAAGTGCTCAGCCTCTGCTGGATCCATACTCTTCTGGCCAGATGACTCTGTTAGGAAACGAACAAAGGCCAGGATCCAAAAATACAGAGGCAAATGCCCAAATATATTGACAATAAACAATAGAACAAAGTGAACAACAGAAAATCGCTGTTTCCGGGAAAAGGCACTAAAAAACACAAAACCAGGGTTAGAAGATAGTCACTGCAGCAAGGCTAAATAGCTGGTGAAAAAACAAAGTTTAAATGATAGTGCCATGTGGGGCAAGTAAAAAATAAGGATGTAAAAAGACAAAGTGCAACAGAAATAGTAAACCAAGAAATCTTCTCAACTGGAGGAAAAAACACAAAATCACCTTTGCTCAAGGGAAAAACTCTCTGGAAAGTAACAAAAGAACTCACAAATGAAGACTGAGAGGCAGGCTGGATACGTGGGCAGGAGAGCAGGGAGCTCGGCATGGCAAGACACAAGTTGCATGACTGGGAAATCATCCGGCACTGACACCAATGAGAATCAGGTGCGTGCAATCAGTCCGGGCCAGCCCCGCCTCCTGCCATGCCTCCAGCGCTGCAGAGAGAGAGAGAGAGAGGGGGAACACACACAGAGGAGAAGAACACAGGAACTCCAACTGCTGCATAACTCAAAATCCTCACACACTTTATAAAATGAACACAAAAAAAAAAAAAAAACATATGATACTTTGTGAGGGCTATGACAAAATCCACTGCTATAATCTAGAAAAATACCAAACAAACCCTGGAAAATACACCAATACAAAAAAAGTAAAGTATAACTAAAGAAATGAGTTTTACAAGTAGGATAAAAACAACATGACAATGAAATCATCAAAACAATATGATACAACTATCAAGAAGAAAAAAAATGAAAAATGAAAATAAAGGAAACATCAAAATTTGAATAGTTTAACAATAACCATGGCAATTTGAAACAGTTCCCTGCAAAACACAAAAACAGAACAATTTTGAAACACATTAAATAAAATGAAAAAAAAAAAAGAACGTCACATATGATCGTAGATCCAAACCCCCTCTTCAGCCAGTGAACACCTGTGAAGTGGGCATTGAAGTGGTGACATCATATACATACCTAGGTGTACATCTGGATAATAAGCTGGATTGGTCTAGAACAGGGGTCGGCAACCCACGGCTCAGGAGCCGCATGCGGGTCTTTCATCCTTATACTGCGGCTCTGAGTGGCTTGGGAAAATAAATTACTAAAAAAAAAAAACTAAGTATTTAATTGAAGTGTATTTAATTTGGGTTAGTTCTTTAATATTGTAGTTCTAAATTGGAAGATTACTGTGATCTTGACATATTAGAATAAATATATTTTATTGTTTTTCGTCACTCAAAATAAACATCATACTCGCGAAAGCCGGTATACCCGCCAAAACGCTGTCCATTTGTCGCGACTTTCAACCCCAGCAAGGCCAAGTATGGAGAAATGTAAGAAAAGAAAAATATCTGAAGAAAATAGAACATTCAATGATGCCTGGGCAGATTCATTTGCATTTACCTCTGATGAGAGTGGCCTACCAGTATGCCTAATTTGTGGAGAAAAACTGTCTAACAATAAACGGTCAAATGTCGCAAGACATTTCAACAATACACACAGAGCCTTTGCTGAAAAATATCCAGAGGGAGAAGAGAGAGAAAAAGCTGTTTCGGAACTGATGCGGAAGGCTGATCTGACGAAAAATCACTTCAAGAAGTGGGTGAAGCCTGCAAATTCAACTACATATGCAAGTTTTGTGGCCGCTCAGGAAATAGTCAGGCATGGGAAACCGTTCACAGATGGAGATTATATGAAACAATCATTCTTTAAGATTTCAGAACACCTATTCGCGGACTTTAAAAACAAGCATGAAATTGTGCAGAAAATCAGAGAGATGCCTCTCTCTGCGAAGACTGTCAATGACAGAACCATAAAAATGGCAGAAAATATCACAAAACAGCAAATTAAAGACATCAATTCAGCTGCAGCGTACTCAATCGCCTGTGATGAGTCCAAAGACAAAAGTGACATTGAACAAATAGCGCTGTTCTGCCGATATGTGAACTCTGCTGGACCACAGGAAGAAATGGTTGAGCTGATACCACTAAAAGGCCAGACACGGGGGGAGGACATCTGTGAGGCTGTGCTTGATTGTTTACGAGCCGAAGAAATAAAAACAACCCACCTAGTGTCAGTGGCTACTGATGGGGCACCGAGTACGACTGGAGCGCACAGGGGCTTTGTGGCCTTGCTGCAGAAGTCACCGGGTAGAAAGCTGCTCACTTTTCACTGCATCCTGCACCAAGAGGCGTTGTGCGCGCAAACTTTTCCTTCAGAATGCACAGAGGTCATGAATGTTGTCATTCAGATTGTCAATAAAATAATGGCAAAAGGTTTAAATCACCGCCAGTTCCGTTCGTTACTGGATGAGGTGGACAGCACATACTCTGATCCCCTGCTGCACAACAGAGTCCGGTGGCTGTCCAGAGGAGAGGTGCTGAAACGTTTTGCTGCATGTCTGGGAGAGGTGAAAACTTTCATGAGCAGCAAAGGGCTCACCTTTCCTGAGCTGGAACAGCCAGAGTGGCTGGAAAAGCTGCACTTTATGGTGGACATGACAGCAAACCTTAACACGCTGAACACAACTCTTCAGGGGAGGAGAGGCACAGCGCTACACATGCTGGAGGAGGTGTTAGCGTTTGAGCGCAAACTGACAGTTTTAGCCAGAGATTTACAGAGAGGCACACTGTTTCACTTCCCCTCTTTAAGGGAGTTCAAACAAGCTCACAAGGTGATCAATTCAGAGTATTTGCAGTCTGCAATCACCACAATGCAAGCATCGTTTGGGAAACGATTCCGTGAGTTCAGAGAGGAAAAAACCACATTGTCCTTCCCTGTCACTCCCCTGAACATCAATCCATCCCTGCTAAATGTGACTGCATTTGCAGGTGTAAGTCAACCTGATCTGGAGCTGGAGCTGGCTGACATAGCTGACAAAGACATGTGGGTGTCCAAATTCAAACACTTGACAGAGGACCTTGAAGATGTTGCCCATCAGAAGGCCACTCTTGCTCAGAATCACAAATTGAGAACCTTCCAAGACCGGACAAACTCGTGTTTGAAACATGGAATGCCATCCCCGACACCTACATGAACATGAAGACATATGCCTTTGGAGTCCTGTCGATCTTCGGATCCACATATGTATGTGAGAAGCTATTCTCCACCATGAACTACATTAAAAACAAACACCGCTCACGCCTCACAGATGACAGCTTACAGTCCTGCGTAAAGATGAGAGTGACACTCCTCTGACCACCATGGAACTAACTTCCTGGTCCTCCCATTTCTGCTCCTCGGAATAGCTTGGGTTGCTGCTGTGATTATTGCTGTTGTAACACTATTGTTGACTTCTTCCACATCCCTGTTCATATCAACTACCTCCAGTAGACCCTCACTCACCTCCCTAAATTTATTCCACTCTGCTTTACTGTACACCCACTTCCGGAGCTCCCTACCCACCCCCACCTCCACTCTTCCCCCTACTGTACACATGATTAAATAATGATCACTACCTAGCGACTTTCCTGACAACACTTCCCATTTACTGACTCCTGCCAAACTTGCTGATACCAATGTAATATCTATAGCTGACTCATTTCCTGTTCTGACATCTATTCTAGTCCCTCTCCCATCATTTAAACATACTAATTCCCTCTCATCCATTAGCTTCTCAACTACCCTACCATCTACATCTGTGTGTTTCCCACCCCACAAAGTGTTATGTGCATTAAAGTCTGCGCACCAGATAACCTTTCGTCTATCGACCCCTTTTATCCTAACTAACCTATCCAATATTAACCTCCCCCCTGGATTATAGTAGTCAACTATAACCACCGCCTCCCCTCCCTCCCACAACTCTACCACTATATATTCCTGCTCTTCCCCACTTTCTATCAACCTATAAGAAATACCCTGCCTAATAAATATTGCGCACCCTCCCCTTGCTTCTTCTTCACTCCTATCCCTCCTGATTGTCATATACCCACTAACCTTAAAATCTAAGCTAGGTTTCAAAAAAGTTTCCTGAACACACACTACGTCTGGCTGTATCTTCATCTTCCTTATATAGTGTTTCATCTCCTGTCCATTAGCCATCAGGCTCCTAGCATTCCACTGCAGCACCCGAACCATGAGCATGAGGTGACTTTCCTACCTCCTGGCTTCAACTCTGGTTCTTAATCTCCGCCTCTATCTGATCAGCTGCTGCCTTTACAATATATTGTATATTGGTGGTCTTAGATGTAGACTTGCTTGTTGAGTTGATAGCTGCCACAATAAATACTATTAACTGCCTTTTGTCTATCCCTATCCTATCCTGATCTGTCTGCTCTCTCCCCAACCCCCAAGTCCCCTTTCTTCCACCACCCCCTGTCTCCTCTACTCCCTGTGTCCTTTCCTCCCTCTGTTTTACCATCTTTGCTGCCTCTGCATAACTTATCTTATCTAGCACCCTGATTTTCTGAACTTCTGCCTCCCTCTTCATAACTGGACAACCCCCAAACGTGACACTATGTTCCCCCCCACAGCTACAGCATCTTGGCTTGGTACCCTCCCCACATTTCCCATACTCATGGTCCCCAGTGCACCTCGCACATCTCCTGTTCTCCTTACAATATCTTGCAATGTGGCCAAATGACTGACACTTGTAACACCTCATCGGCTTCGGTATAAATGCCCTCACAAAATAGCTAATGTACTGTAGGTACACTTTATCTGTGATTACCTCTCCTTCAAATTCTACAAACACTGTCTCAGTTGTCTTCTTTTCTGGACCCCTTGTCAATCTTTTAACATTGACAATTCCCGTGCCCCTAGCACATAGCTTCTCCTTCAACTCCTCATCCCCTACCTCCATAGGATTCCCAGTAATCACTCCCTTACATCTTCTCCCCTGCACTCCAACCCGCACTACCCTCACCACTCTACTCTCACCCACCTTAATTAACTTCCTCACCAAGGCTTCCTGGACATC